AGGTATTAGTCAAAGCCACTGAACATTCAGCCTCATACACAGCGAGTAAATTATCCTCAGTGTGGGATCAATAAAGTCTATCATATGTTATCTTACATTATGGCTGTAATTCATATTACTGCTAATGCCTGTTCACTACATTAGCTGCGAATCCAATAGCTCATGAAGACAGCTATTAAATGTAACATATCTAATGTCCCTTTCAGCTTTTGTTTCAAAGGACTTACAGATGACTATTTAGCAGAGTAATAACTGTATATTCAGACCCCATATGATCGACTTTCTAAACTTTGGTAATCAAATGAAGAACTGTCTCACTATCTTCTACACCAAGGCCTTTCAAGCGACCTGCCGCTCCCCCATTGATGTTTAATGGAAGAGAGAAATGGGCACGCCGCCCTGGGCTTGAATTCCATGCAGTGACATCCTGAACTGCAGCAGGAGCACCCGGCAGACTCAGAAAAATAAACTCTTCCAACCGTATCCGTTTTCTCATCACCACCTTCCTGAGTGCAGAGCCATTCTCATCATTATGCCCCGCATTCAGCCGTCTGTGGGGGATCCCTGCTGCTCCATTAAGGCCATACCGAGGCTCACAAACCCCTGATTGCGTGAGCCATCAATAGCACTGATTATAGGAGTTAATTAGGGTGCTTGGCATGAGAGAAAGGCTTGTCTTTCATCATAGATGTTAAAACTGTATAGTACTGATGCAACAGCAGTGATTCTGTCAGTGTTGCAGTATTGCATCACTATTGTTTGTCAGAGACAATGGAAATATCTTCACTAGTGGTTAGGATAAAGCATATGGAGTAGTATTATCTGTTGCTGTAAGGCAAATTCAATTGAGCTTTTTTCCCTGCTGACTGCTATTCATTTACACCATGGTGTGCTTCAGTTCTCAGTGCTCGTGCCCCTGTCAGCTCCATCTGTGTGCGCAGACATGTCCTGACCCTCACGTTCTGCAGCCAGGGTGCAGGGTGAATGTGTGTATGCACGTCGCTGTATGTGCTACGTCTCTGACATGTGCACAAAACCAATTAGTTTTGGGATGGTGAAGTAGCTGGGCATGGGAAAATGACAATGGAGTAATTGAAGAGGCTGGCTGAATGAGAGGCCAGACAGCTCAATGCAGCTGTTACACAAGTGCTGAGTGTTTTCTCCAGGGATGAAATGAACGGAGAGAAAAGCAAGTCCTGATTGAAGGTGGTCTTATATAGTTGTAGACAGTAATTAACATTGCAGCCTTTCACTTTGCTGACGTTAATTTTTACTGAAGAAACACAACTATTTGGGTTGTGTAGTTGGCATTTAAAGGTCCTTAGCAGTGATTTTGTATTCTTTAGTTCCTTTAATACAAATGAAATGTACCTTCACAGCTTAATGTTTGGCACACCATGCTGTCGTGTTTTAGGATTCCTCTTGGGGTTTAGCATCTTTCAGCTCATTGTTCTGGTTTTTTTTTGGCCCACAACTCTGCTGTTTTGGTTCACTCTCACTGCTCTCATGGCATTGTTTTTAGCCGCAGCAGGAAGCAAAGACGCAAAGACTGTGCACCACCTGCTTATACTTTTTGGTGAACACTATGTTCAGCCAAATGTTTCTCTCAGAGGTTGGTGGAGAGCCAAACAGAGCTTAAAGGAAAGTAAATATTGGACTTACATTCATCAGGTGGACACAAACATGACTCCAAATGACTGCTAATAAGTTTCTCCATGTTTGCTGGATTTGGAAATAAGCAACTGTTTGTTAACACGTTCACCATATAAACTTAAAAGGTGATTGTAGCTTACAACTTGTTTCCACTGGCCCCAAGTGGCCAATCAGTTAATGCAGGTTTGAGGAGCCAAAACACTGCTCTGATCCTTTAAGTACTCTGTAGTAACTATTGTATTGAGTTTTCTAAGTGAGACAGTATCTCAGTTTATTATCCTCTTAGCCTTAATCTATTTTGGGAAATAGCTAAAAATCCTCCCTGTAAGTGTCCTTACCAACCTGTCGTGTTTCTTTCTAACAGACCATTTCCTGTTTCGATTTTATCAGCCGCCTGACACCTTTTGGCACAGCACTGCAAACAGTACTGTGTTTTTATCTCTGCCTCAGCAGTCTGCGCTGAAGTGAGCTTTATTTACTTTGGTATTTCCAGTTCTGTCAGCACTAGACGCATAGGAAGGTTCAACAATTGTGATGGATGTTTTGTGACCCTCGAAGAATTGTATATTCAAATGAGAAGTGGACTTTGAACTGTAGTTTCTTCTTTAAGATGCTCCAGCTTAAGCTCAAAATAGACTCATTATGCAGGCTTTTGCCGCATACCACGGTAAAATGAAGGTTTTAGAATTATAAACTGGAATTCTCCAGTACTTAATTCGAATAGGGTACAGTCAGGATCTTTTTTTAATCTTTTTATGCTCACTGTTCAGGCAGTGGATTTCAGTAGTTTCAGGCTCTGGTGGTTGGTTCCTCATCTTAAGAGCCCCACTTGAGTTTCCACTGTCTTCCAACTGTGAGAGGGATGTAAAGGGTTGGCCCCGTATCACTGGAGCTCACATGGATAATTATAGCACACAAATGAATACAGGCACACATATACAGTAATCACACAAAGACACACACGGTGACCGGCTTGAGCTGAGCTGCTACACCTCATTTAATTGGGAAATGAATCCTGGATGAAGCCCTGGCTCCTTTCCAGATAAGAATCACCAGGCTTTCAGGGATTCACCATAACATTTATAATTAACACATTTACTCTCTTGCTGTCACAGTCTGTCCTTTTTTCGCTTCACCTGTGACGGTTCACTGCCAAGTTCAGCCTGTATTTTATGTTCTTTTACAAATTATAGTGATCTCAATAGCGTTTTACATTAGTAAAATTGAATTGGCACTGCAATGCAATACCTCACTAATCACCATGAATGGATTTTGCACAAATGGCATCTGATCGTACTAACACATAGCGAGTTGAAAATAAACAGTGATGACACAAGTCTGTTGCAGGTTTTCTGCTCAGTATGGGTTCAGCACCCCTGCCTGCAGCCTGCAAATGAGCTTGATGAAATTGCCCCCCCTGGATCTTTTTATGTCAAATCCCAAGCCAGAGCTGCCTGATGGTGTCCACAGCAGTGTGATTGGCTGCCCTAGGAGATTAATACAGGCCTTCCCTAGAGAGGTGCAGTGGAAGCCGGGGGCAGCAGGCGTTAGCCTTGGTCTCTTTCTATGTTACTCGACACACCGGCTCTGGGTACTGAATCATGACTTTAGGGCAGCACTAGCAAATACATCAGTTCCCGAAGGAGGACCAGGCCAGGGTCTGAATGCGTGGCTGTCTAGCCTCTAGTCTCAGACACAGCTTGCACCACCTCATCTGAAGCCCCGGCCTGACCCACACCCCAAGGCGGGAGAGAGCAATACACGTATGCAGCGCCACATTTAATGGGCTCGACTTGATTCTTTCAGATGGTAACTGGAATTAATATCCCAAATTTGATAGTGTGGTTTTGTGATAACGCAGCAAATTAGCCTGCCTGAGCTCTAAATTAAGCTGTGACATTTTAATACTGTGCCAGCGGATGCCTTCGGTAAGACAGGCAGGAGAGCGAGATAAAAACAGGTCATTCTGCAGTCGTATAAAGACAGAAAACGTCTCCTCATAAGTTCTCCTTCCTCATTCTCTTTGCTCATGATTTACAAGCTGCACTCACATTTATATGAAAATAATGAATTATACTGATCATTTCTTTGTAACAGGGCTGAATTATGTAAATTTGAATTAGATTGACCAAAATAAATTTGACTCAGTAGGTATTATTGAAGCATGGGTCACATTGGTTTTGATGACCCTGAGAGTGATTATTACAATATTTGCATTTTGCTATCATTCCTTTTTAGCTGCCTCAATAAATAATTGCTTCTGGTTGGATGAAGGTGTGATATGGCAGCACTGAGCTGCCTGGCAACAAGAGAAAGATTTCAAACCTGGTATGTTCAATACAGTACATACATACTGTTTTGCTCCCTAGTCTGTTCACAGTTGTGATGGGGGCATACTTAGAATATACTGTCTAACAAAAGGAAATCCTCACTTAATTAACAGTTAATCAGTGGACAAATAGCTTACAGAAGCACTGGACATATTTGGCAGGACACAATGACCTGTATTTACAAATCAGTGTTTAAAAAATCTGTATCCATATGATGTGGATGAATACAATCTGGGAGTAGAAACAGGTCAGGTTGGTCATTTTGAGGAAGTTTGTATTGTCTTACACCTCCAACCCATTGGATTGGATATTAAAAAACACAGCAGCTTTTCTCTAGTTTTTGAAAACATGTAAACAAGCCACCTCGCATGAATCTGAACTCCTGTTGAACTTGTACCATCTGTCAACACTGAACGGAGTCCAGTAAGATGTCAGAGATCTAAGATCTTCCCGATGACACGTGATGTTTCTCTCTACAACAATCTCATGAAAGAATGATGGCTCAGTGTCTGAAATCTGACCTCACTGCCGGTCAGTTTGCTTCTGACTCAGTCAGTCAATCAAACTGATAAAGCTGAGAGTAAAATGGAAAGTAGAGTGAGTGTCCCCTTGTCTTGTCCCTTGGCATGTGATCTGCTGGCTGATGTGATCGATATGGTGTAGAAGCCTAATGGCACCGTGGCCACGGCAGTGATTAGTCGAGCAAAATGAGCCCGTGTGGGCCCAGTCGGCCTGCATTGTAGTATACTAGATCAAACAGATAGCTTCCAGCAAACTGCACTGCATGGCAACTAACATTGATCTGTGGCCAGAGCCATATGTGTCTGTCTCTCTCCCATTCTCCCTCTCTCTCTCTCTCTCTCTCACCAGCTGATGAACACAAAATAGAACAAACTCAGTATTATGATTGATAGCCGCAGTAACTGGATGTGCTATTCAACCCAGTAATCTCTGTTCCTGCTTCTATCCTCTTATCTCTGACGCTGTCTCTCTCTTTCTCTCTTTCTCCCCCTGTAGTTGTGAATGTGCACGTGTCCTCAGACAGCGTGACCGAGCAAAGAGACGAGGAGTCACTGCGTTTTGGGGCCAACCTTTGCGTCACACACTGATGATGGAGAGGAGGAGGATGGACGCAGCACTGCTGGTGCTGCTCCTGGGACACCTCGCCACTGCGTTGGAGGTCCCACTAGACCGTAAGGCAACAGATCATGCACCACACAACATGTTCATATGCAAGAGAGTGTAAATGGTTTAATGGCAGGTCTCAGTCTTGAGGCAGAAACAATTAGTTAATTAATCGACATCATTTATCAAGCAAAACATTAGCTGGTCACATATATGGCAGTCAACTGAATATGTTTGAATTTGAACTTTGGGCACTGAGAAACAGCCATGTTTCATTATTTTCTGACATTTTATAGAAAGCAACTAAAGGAATAGCTCAACATTTTGAAAAGTTAAATGAGAAGGTTGATACCACTCTCATGTATATACGTTAATGAAACTGAAAGACAGAAGTTGTGTAAATCCAAAGCATTTCACTTTTACTCTTTGGTATTTATATAAGATATTTAGAGCTACTCGTGCTGTTTCCAGTGAGTTAAGCTAAGCTAACTGCTTGCAATATCTTCATTTTTGCCATTCATCATCATGACCAAGGGGGACAGTGTCGAGCGACTCATTTAACTTTATATAGATCTATATATCTAGTTATTAATAGGGTCAGACTATATGTTGTTGCTTTGGTTTTGTAAAGCAAACACTTTTTAGACCCCGGGTTCCTCATTTTGACTGGGGAAAAGGAACGAGTTTTCCAGACTGAACTCCAACACCACAGCCTGATGTCTCCGTGGTAGCAGATCTTCTACCTAGATCTACATATCGTTTGTTTGGAGCTGTTGACCGCCGGAGGCTGGCATTTCTCAACTGGGAACTGGCTTTGTTTAAACAATGATGAAGCAGAAATAATGCAGGAAGATATTTTCCACCACTAATGTCTGGTTCTCTTTACTGTCACAATTTTCCCCTCTTGTTTGCTGATTCTTGGGGGAAAAGTTCTGGAAGGATGTAAGTCTCAAACTGGTGTGAATTACTAGTGTGAATTCACTGCAGAGTTTGTGCTAGCATTTTTTTGTTGTGCATTAAAGGTTATGTTTGATCCTTTTTTATTATATCTTTATATTATATTTTGTTTGTTTTAAGATGCTGAGTGTGATTTGAAGTGGTAGTAATACATTGCATGCATTGATCTCTTTGTTTTGTTGTTTGCTCTTTTTGTTCTGTGTGTTGCTGCAGAGGTAGAGCATCTTTCCATAGAACAATATTGCAAACAGCATGAGTTCTTATATCATTTGTTTTGTCATAGTCCATTAGTCATCTCCCCAGCGCTGACAGGAATACATTAGGTATCGGATCATTACAATAAAGTGAAATGTACCTGAGCGTTCTGCATGCCTTTTTTCCGCTGTTGTACATGTTATGGAGCTTTTTGTGTCTGTCAGCACACCGCCGTCTGATTTGATTCAGTGTGGTAAGTCTGCATGCAGTAGGTAATGACTGCTTGTGTGGTCAATACAGCAACAGAAAAAGGCTTAGTAATGCAGTAAAGGTCATGATTGAATATCGCCCTCTTTCTGATTTCACCTTTAGTGCCGCAGCCGCCGACCATAACTCACCAATCCCCCAAGGATTACATCATCGACCCACGAGAGAATATTATAATCCACTGCGAGGCGAAGGGAAAGCCTCACCCCAGGTAGGAATTTGCATTCATGATGCTGTTACTAAAAAAGATATTCCAGGTGTTGATTCAACCACCAGCTGTCAAATTTCAGCTAAAAGCTTCAGCTGACAGCAAGTCTCCAGAAAATGTAGTTTAAAATATGCTGGGTAAAGTTCAGTATTCAAACTTTATAACAAGTAAAGCTGTTATTTTATTCCTGCACATGCTGCCCTTGCCAAAGGCTGATTTTAGCTAATACTTCTGAATCTTTTGCTATTATCCTCTAGCCATCCTCTTTCCTTTGTCTATATCAGTGTTAACACCTATTACACACCACCTATTAATAACTTTAATTTTAACGCACACATTTGTACTTCTATACAAGGACCAATTAGGTCATTAAGATGCAAGGATCCTAACTGACAAAATATATTTCTTAACCTTCACTTTACCCTAGCATAACCATAACATAACCCTAAAACCCTCAAACACCCTTGAAGAGGAGAAGACTGGCAAGTAGAAAAGATTTTGCACACCCAAATCTTTTGAAATTCTCTTTTAAAACCCTTGGAAACTTGGATTTAAGTTTAAGAATTTCTCTATAACAGTAAATATTCAGGACAAAATAAACAACAATCCAAGTTAAAGTGAAGGAAAAAAGAACATCCTTAAGTATTACTTGTTAGGAGTCCACCTACTTCAAACCAGTGAGAACAACACTGAAACAGAAATGTCATTTTCATGTAGGACGAACAGGAAGTACAAGAGCACACACGCTATCCTAACCACTTAACATTTATCTAACCTTTTCACAGTACCTCCTGTATACAGTGTGGTGGCTGTGCGTTTCACCAGATAATCATAACACAATTCGTCATCAGTAAATATGAGCTACACTCTTATGACACCAGTCTGTTTTTTTGCTCCTCAGTTTTTCCTGGACAAGAAATGGGACCCACTTTGACATCGACCAGGACCCCAATGTGACCATGAAGCCCCACTCTGGGACCCTGGTGGTGGACATAAGCAGAGCGAAGGCTGAACACTACGAAAGCGTGTACCAGTGCACGGCAAGGAACAAACATGGAACTGCTGTTTCCAATAACATAGTCGTTCAACAGTCCAGTAAGCGAAGTGCAGTCTATCATTTATATCATTTCATTTTCTTCCACTTTCTTAATATCATGCATATTCGCATCTTTTTCATCATTCTTTTTTTTCTTTTCTAACAATTAAGTCGAATTTTCCATCTTCAAAGCACTCCTTAAAGGTAAAGGTTGCATATAGAGAGCGGCATGTCCTACTTTGCAGGCTGTAACAGTAGATAGAGTGAATAATCCTTTGTTTTTCTCCTTTTGCATATTGTTATTCAGTAAAGCATCATCCCTCTCATCTTGCCTCGTCACCGCTGTCATTATGTCAGCAACAGTCCATTAGCAACCCATATTTAATGTCAAATTATGAGTCTCCTCATCCATTGATGTGTATATCTGTCTTCAAACAATCCAGGGTCCCCGTTGTGGTCGAAGGAGAAAATCAAGCCAATTGTCGTTCAGGAGGGCGTGTCCTTGGTGCTGCCATGTCGACCCCCTGCTGGCCTGCCTCCTCCCATCATATTCTGGATGGACAATTGTGAGCGCTTCAGTCATGGGAGATAATGTTTTAGCTGCACATAATACACAGTTGCTTACAGTATGTGTGTCCACTCAAATAATCCTTGTCAGTGTTCATTACAGTCAGTGTCCTGGGTTTAGAATTTTAATATCATTTCTGATATAAACTAACAAATAAATGTTATATTCACAAACATTTATTTGATTAATATGAACAACTGGGACCATCACTTGTCCCGTTTGTAGCAGAGAACTAGGGGTTTATGGGAAATGTGGTCTTAATGTTGAGACATACAGTCACTATGTCACATAAGATAGATAGATAGATAGCTGTTCTGGAGCTTTTGATCATATCACACAATCTTCCTCAGTGCATGTGATGGCATTTTAAGGACCTCTGAGTGATTGAATGTTCTTTTTTGTCCTTGGAAACAACAAAACAATCTCACCACAAGGTCGACTGAGTAGTTGTTGTGGAGCTTTGAGTTGTATCATATCTCCTTCTCCATCAACTCTGCCTGCTGTGGAAGATTGTGTGATTCATTAAATACAATTGAATGGACCTTGTGGTGAATTCACAAATAAACAAAAAATTACAAGTGTGAGTTTAATTTGTCAATGTTTTAAGATACAGCCCCAATGCAATAGAGCTGACTGGACTATGGGTAATTCACAGAGCACTATCAATAGGAACTATTTCTTTGGTAGAAAGCCATAACTTCAAGACCGTATCAATAATCTTTTATCCAAATATTTGTAATTTGAATGAATTTACTTTTTATTAGAAGGCAGCACATACAGTAGTGCCTTTAACTACGGTAGCGAGTATTACAATTGCTGTACACTTCAAAATCTAACATTTTCTGTACATTTCAGACTTCCAGAGGCTGCCTCAGAGCAGCAGGGTGTCCCAGTCCCTGAACGGAGACCTTTACTTCTCTAATGTACTCAAAGAGGATTCAAGGAACGACTACATCTGCTACGCCCGCTTCCCATACACACAAACCATCCAGCAGAAACAACCCATCACTGTCAAGGTCCTCAGCAGTAAGTATGACTCTGTGTGTGTGTGTGTGTGTGTGTGTGTGTGTGTGTGTGTGTGTGTGTGTGTGTGTGTGTGTGTGTGTGTGAGGAGAAGATAAAGGAAGTCTAATGCACCGAAGGTTTAATGAGCTAGCATAACTGAAATGAATAGAGTGTAATGTGTCCACATGAGAGGCATGTGCTAGCATGACTGCGTAGGAGGGGAACAGCATTTCCTATCTCTGATTTCATCCTCAGAGATGCCAGTGGTCGTCATCCCACTGAAAAGACATATTGTCAGAGCTCTCATGGCTCCCTGCACTATCTGCCAAGCAGGCGTTCATTTTATTACTTCTGTGAGACGTTCTGTATACGCACTCGTCACCAACAACAAAGACTGCTCTCTGTCAGGGTAGCATTTTGCAGCCGGCATGTCGACATGGTGTTCCCACAAGATTACAGTTATTTGAATTTTGAGTAATTTAAAGTTTTGTTCTGGCATTTTTAATTCTGAACACGCTCATGTTAATGTGTGTGTGTGTGTGTGTGTGTGTGTGTGTGTGTGTGTGTGTGTGTGTGTGTGTGTGTGTGTGTGTGTGTGTGAGATTGTGTGTGTGTGTGTGTGTGTGTTTTTTTTTATGTGCCTGTTGATTTCAACCTGTGGCGTGTTTGATTTCTCTGTTGTGTTACAGTGGATGCAATCAATGACACAATGGCAGCTTTTTACAATGACACTGATTTATTTAGTGGTGAGTTTTGGCACCCCCTAGTGTTTACCCCCTCCAACCTAGAGCTCCAAACTCTAGCTTTTTACCCACTAACACTAACCCGCTTCAACCTGTCAACCCGTCATCACAAGGCTTTCTACAGTCTCACTTTTTCATTTAGTGGTGAGATCTGGCACCCCCTAGTGTTTACCCCAACACAGAGCATCAAGCTCTAGCTGTTACCCACTAACACTAAACCCAAGAATCCAAGTTAATTCTCTTCCCTTCTGTCACTCCTGCTCTTTCCAATCAAAACCCTTTTAATAATTATTCACTTCCTTCCTCCTATGAATTGCTTTAACTAGCACTGCATGATGATTTCAGTATAGACTGAGCTGATTGTGTAATTTATATAATCTAAAGTAAACATATTATAATGTAATCCTGTGATAAACAACAAATTAATTCTTAAAGTATACATACACTAATAAAAATTCTTCCTTTTGTTTGCCTTTCCTCTGTCAAACAGCCAGCTGCAATCTTGATTCCTTAAAATCACTCATTCCCTGCTGCCTAATTTTAAAGTGCACCTAGTTGTTAATCTCTCTGATATCAATCATTTTCATCTCACTTCATTTCTCATTGCTCAGAAGACCTTTGATCGGTCTCTTTGTCTGAACAATACCACACACTGGCTAAACCCAAACATGCAAGCAGTTTGATTCTCATGAACCATCATCATAAACATTTAGTCTGATTGTTTTATTATTAGTTTAGCAGATTAGTTATTTACCAATTCAGCAGCAAAAAGCAGATCTTCATGTCTCGATTTGTCAGTTCTATATTAGATTCATTTTAGTCTCTATTATAACCCCAGAGGGCAATTAATTGGCAATAAACACCTACAGAAAGCAGAGCAATAAAACACAACATGGCTATAAAATTTATATCTAACCATAAAATATGACAATTGTGGTCTGTAACAAAGTGGCTTGGTGTAGAAGAGAGGTTTCATTAAACCAGAGAACAGCCAAGAAAGCATTGTGAATGTGAAAGGCCTGGTTCAGGCCTGGATCTTCACTCTGTTATGAACCTATGCAGAGGAGTTGGTAATGGTTTTCTGTGTGAATCTGTGTGTGTGCAATCATAGAAGAGCCAGCGGATGAGAGGAAGCCAATCTTCCTAATCCCATCTGGCCCCTCCAGCTCCAAGACTGTGTTGAGAGGACAGGTGCTGGAGATGGAGTGTATTGCCGAAGGACTGTAAGTGAAAGTATCCGCCATTACTTCACTCATGAAAGCCTCAAGTGCCCACCTGCTCAAGTGTCATCATCACTCTTTGTCTCTGGCGTCTGTCTCTCCCTTTGAATCCAGGCCCACCCCTGAAATCTCCTGGACCAAAGTGAGCGGAGATCTACCAGCCAAGCGAACATCCTTCCTGCACTACCAGAGGACACTTCGTATCGTGAACGTGTCTGAGTCAGACGCAGGAGACTACCGCTGCACTGGCAGGAATCGGCTCGGCTCGGTGCACCACACCATCCACATCGTGGTCAATGGTTAGTCAGTGATGAAATGCGCGGCATCCCATCATGCTGTTCACTCTGTGAATGTGGCGACATGGTCACTCCTTCTTTCTGTCTCCTCATTCTCCCTCCATCTCATAATTGATTTATGCACAGATGCCAAAAGGGTAGTGTGTTCAGTGATTAATTATCCAGCTTTCTGCTGCGCTCTGTTCTATTTTCAGCCGCTCCATATTGGATCAGTGGTGCCCCCAGGAACCTTGTTCTAGCTCCAGGAGAGAATGGCGTGTTGACCTGCAGGGCCAGTGGCACGCCCAAGCCCTCCGTCACCTGGGCTATGAATGGCATCCCCATAGAGAGTGAGTGCAACCTGTTCTTTTGACTGAAGCTCACCGTGCTTAGAAAAAGACATTTCCTAGTCTTGATGGCAGTTTAATTGCATTATTTGAGAAAGGATTTTTGTTTTTCAAATCACCGAATTGTAAATACCTTGGTACTGCGTAGCATATTCTTCCCTATGGGGATGACGTTTGATATTTATGATACCTCAGTTTGATACAGATACAAAAACGATTCAATACCTCACAGTGAGGAAAATGTTTTACTTCAAAACTCTTTTTTTCTATTCCACAAAGTAAGTACAGTGCATTGGTGTTTAATTTACTCTCAAAGGAATAGTCTAACATTTTCCAAAAAAAAACAAATTATCATCACTGTGAGGGGCCCAGACAACCAGCAGAACTCACTACAACTTGTCGATTTACTACACTTCGTTTTTTGTACAGGTTAGATAAGTGTGATACAATGTGTTAATTAGTGAACTTCAGAGGTACCGGTAGACAGGTTTAGTTTCTTTTGGGCAGAGCCATGCTAGCTTTTCCCCCTGTTTCTAGTGTTTATGCTGAATTAAGCTAACCAGCTGCTGGCTGTAGCTTCATATTTAACATACAGTCTTGAGAGTGGAATCAATCATTCTCCCTTTGCTAGGCAAGGAGGGGATTGGCATTTGTACAATATGTTGATAGTTAACATACCTGCTGTATGTTAACTTTATAAAAGAACCTTAAGGAAATAAAATACAATCTAAAAATGATAATTTAAATGAGGACATATGCTAAGTAAATAAGACCTGACCAAGTATTCAATCCCAGATTTAATTACTTTACAGTTTTAATAATTGGTGCTACGGACACATTTTGTTTTGCCACTCAAAAACTATTTAGGTGTAATACCTTGCCTTACCCGTGTGATGCATAACTGAAAACTAAAGTTATCTGTTTGGCTACTAAGACCCCGGAAAGTTACCGACAGCATGTTCATCCCTACAGAAGCTTCTTTACTACATTCGTCCTGAATTCAAAGACCCATCTTACACCTGTAACCCCTGTTATCCATGAACAGATTCCCCTAAAGATCTCAGCAGAACAGTGGACAAGGACACCATCATCTTCACTGTTGTGCAGACCGGATCCAGCGCCGTCTACCAGTGTAATGTCTCCAATGATTACGGTTACCTCCTGTCCAATGCCTTCGTCAATGTGCTCTGTAAGTTCATTACACAAGCATCCATTTGTATTAGAATGCTGTTTTACATTTACATTGATCACTGGAGTTTATTAACCTGACAATAATTGCTGCTTGCCTCATTGCAGCGGAGCCGCCCAGAGTGCTGACACCAGCCAACAAAGTCTACCAGGTCATCAAAAATCACAGAGCCCTGATGGACTGCGCTTCCTTTGGGTCACCCATCCCTAACATTACATGGTGAGTTAATTAACTTTTGACAGAGGAATGTGTTTGTGTTGTTTTTCTCTTAAAAGCTGACAACTGCTGCCTCTCCCTCTCTCAGGTTCAAAGACAGTCGGTCCAGCACCCTGGATGGAGACCCTTACATCCTTCATGACAATGGGACTTTAGAGATTCACGTAGCTCAAGCCCACAATAGTGGCAAATACACCTGCGTGGCCAGGAACAGCCTCGGTATCTATGAGAATCACATCTACCTGGAGGTCAAAGGTGAGAGTGCACTAAAGATACTATAATTAGATGCCAGGGATTGCAAAGAACTACCTAATAACTCACATAGTGCTATTGCAGTGGGATGTTTGTGGTAAAAGCCAGAGTAGACTCAAGATCCAAAATAGCAAAAGTTACCTTGCAATGATCTTTAGGTGAATTTTATTTACAATGAATGGGTTAACATATCTGCTGACACGCTTTGACATTAAGCCTTAATTAGAACAACAGTGACCTCTCTTAAGGACATAAACAGAAAGAAATGTCAGTTGTACACCTGCAAGAAAGTAAATGAAAATACAAACTAAGAAAGACAGAAAACATGATAATAAATAGGTTATAAAAGTTAAAATGTCATTGAAGTTAAATAAAAAGTTATTTCTGGTCACAGCTTCTCAAATAAATTGCCCTTTGCCTGTTGTTCATTTTAAATTGCATACTGGGACGTTTGAATGTTAGTCACAAAATAAGCAATTTTAAGACCTAATTTTGGTGTAACTTTTACTGTAATAGGAATTAGTCAGTATCTTCAACATTTTATCAGCTAATTGATTAATTGATCAATCAGATCAGACACTTATCTGCATTGGTGAGACTTGATTTTTCAATTTTAGTAAATGTAAACTGAACCTTGCCTCCTTGTCCCCACCCATCAGAGCCAACTCGAATCCTGAAGCAGCCAGAGTACAAAGTGGTCCAGAGGGGCAGGTCTGTGGTGTTTGAGTGTAAGGTGAAACACGACCCCTCTCTCATCCCCACCATGACCTGGCTCAAAGACGATGGGGAGCTGCCCGATGATGAGAGGTCAGACCTATCTGGAGATGTCTTACTAAACTCTACATTAGGTTTATTGGATCTAGCCAGTATCTAATTATCAATCTTACCTTTAATAAAATTGTACTGTTACATATTGTTTTATTTTCTGTATATTTGCTGATGCAGATTACTTGTTCTGGCTTCAATGCGTATTATTTCTCTTTGCTTCAAGATTTAATACAACCAGATGTAGTGCTAAACTGTCTGTATGAATGCTTTGTTTACAGATTAATCGTAGACGCTGACAGCCTCACTATCAGCAGTGTGACCGAGAATGATTCGGGGGAGTACACCTGCATCATGAACACCACTCTGGACCATGATTCAGCCAGCGCTCAGCTCACTGTTGTCGGTACGTTCAGCTTTGCCGGAGCTCAATTTCACTGACTCATAAAACAAACTCACAAATTATTAAAGTCCCTGTCTCAAGTCTTCCCAGAAAAGTGACTCTGTCCAATAACTCACAGAACAGATTGCCTTTTAGCCCTTCAAGGTGAATTGCCTGAGAGTTTACTTAGGAGGGTCGAAGCGGACTTAGTCAGCTTTTGTGTCAGCAGCATGAATATTTGATTGTTACCATCTTAGTGAGCCAGATAATCTTTGTTTTCTTACGGCTGACTGACCACTAAACTCCCCATTTCACTCCCGCCCTCCTACCTGGCAGAGGCCACGCCAACACCAGCTGTCGACGGTAAACTTGCAGCACACAGGAGCGCCCAGATGTGCTCTGCTGACATGAGCTTGTGTTGTTTGTTGGATGTTTCTGTTAAGTGAAGCATGTTGTGGCCTCAGGATTTTGTTATTTGACAATCACAGAGCATTTACAATGTTTTTCTTTTCATTTTGATTTCCCAGCATTTATATTTTGTCTTTATGGTGTTTTTCTTTTACATAAATTGTATGTTTTTATGTTTTTGCTGAAAGTTTGAATGCATTAAAACACTGATGCAAACGTTACACATTAAGGCATATTTACAATTTGTAAAGCAGACATTTCCCCATTGCAACACTTGGGATCTTTTCAAATGCACAATTTCCTCATCATTCATTTATTCCAAGCATGCGTTATCATTACAATTCCTAAACATGAGCTTCAATTTAGCGTCTCTGGTGAGCCTTGGACTCATTTCATGCAGAGTGATTATGGAAGATGGGCATCAGTCGTTTCAAATGCATGATGCAATGTCTGCATGTGTATCGTAGGGCAAATAACATCCACAAATGGAACATGAAGAAATAGAGGAGTAACTGAAGGTGTGCTTGGTTAAACCAACATACTTAGCATTTATTATAATTCTGGTATTACAGAAACAAACGTATGTAACCAGATATCCTCTTTTGTTTTTGCTTCATCTTCTCGTGGCATGAACCCTTTCTATTCTGTGACTGAAACTGTGTGTTGATCTTGCTGCCTTTGCTGTTTCTCCGCCAGAGCGACCCGACCCCCCAACTGACCTAGAGCTGACAGACCAGAAAAAGAGGAGTGTTCAGCTCACTTGGACTCCTGGGGATGAACATAACAGTCCTATTCAGAGTATGTCTTAAGCCTGTGTGTGTGTGTGTGTGTGTGTGTGTGTGTGTGTGTGTGTGTGTGTGTGTGTGTGTGTGTGTGTGTGTGTGTGTGTTTAAGAGTTCGATGTACTTCATTTTTGACAGTGTTTTTAAATCTGTCTCTAGTGAGTCTTCCAACATTATGGAAGAACAAAATTATTTTAACTAAAAACTAGTACTCCTTTAATTCCTTCCATTTTTGGCATTTAGTTTGTAGTAGTTTGTAATTAGTAGTTGATAGTTTGTAGTTTCTTCAGTGACAGAGGGCAGCAGCTGAAGTTAGCTGGAATAATGACAAGTAACAGCATAGAAAAATACCACTACTGCAGGATAATCTAGTTCTCCACTGTCTACTAGTATTTCTCCTCACTTCACCCTCAAGGCAGTGCCAGGAGTAGCATATTTAGATATATTTTACCAAACCTTTTTTTTGTGTTACAATATCCCAAAATAACTTCAGGGCATTCATTCCAGTTATGCAAATATACTGTCAGTGCACTGACGTTCAGTTCAGCGTTCACTTATCTACAATACTTGTCTTTTTCTATTTTACACAGAATTTCTGATCCAGTATGAAGACATAATGCACCACCGCGGCCACTGGCATAATCTTACCGAGGTGCCCGGAACCAAGACGACAGCTCACCTCAAACTGTCACCGTACGTCCATTACACCTTCAGAGTTTTGGCCCACAATGGTGTGGATTTCAGCCGCCCCAGTGTCCCCTCCAGAGTGTTCAAGACAGATGCTGCAGGTACAGACTCAGAGTTCCTGATTGTCTCTTGAAGTTTTACTCTGTAAATGAATCTGGTTTGTATTTGTTTTAATAAACACATAATTAATAAACAATAACATATGATTCTATCTTGAAAATAATAACTATTCTGTAAGTAAACATATTAATATACATCAGCTTTTGTTGAATGCCTAATTTTAGAAGCAATTCAGTACAATGATATGATCCTCAGTGAAAGGTTTTCCTTGGCATAATGTTTAATTTTGTCTTTGTTATTTTATACTTTTTAGCCCCAGACGAGAACCCAACTGGTGTACAGGGATTTGGAACAGAACACGATAATCTTGTAATCTCATGGAAGGTAATAAAGTTGTATAAAGCTATCTGTTTTAATCCTGAAGCATTTACTGTTGTCCGGGGAGTACCATTAGATATAAAAGTGTCCTTGTTTTGTAAAGCACAATATTGTTATTGCCGTGATCTTTTTTATTTCATTTTATTATTTTTTTATTTTATGACTGACCAAACCATATACTGTATATCATAATGCACACTCAGCCTTTTTCTAAAGAATTGAAAGATAAGTTACATTAAAAACTTTTTCTTCTGCAGCCGCTGTCGGGCTTCCAGTCTAATGGTCCAGGGCTTCACTATAAAGTGAGCTGGAGGCCAGTGGGAGGTGAATGGACCACAGTGACTGTGGCTAACAATTCCAAGTTCACTGTGTCTGGAACGCCCACATTTGTTCCATATGAGATAAAAGTTCTGGCTGCGAATGACCTCGGAGATGGACCTGAGCCTGCTATTGCTCACGGCTACTCAGGGGAGGACTGTGAGTTAGACCGAGTCTTTAGACCCTTTAAAAAAACATACTTTGTACAAGAGCTTGGGGGTGATGCGTTTGGGTATTAAGCCTATTACATTTACTCAGTATGTTTCCTTTTGTATTTAGTTGTTGTTGTGTTGTGCTCCTTGTCTATTGTGTAGTGCCAATAGCAGCTCCAGAAAATGTGCAGGTCATGGTGATGAACAGCACTCTGGCAGAGGTACACTGGGATCCTGTGCCCTCTAAATTAATCCGGGGACATCTTAAAGGATTTAAGGTACAGTACAGAAGACCACATGCAGTGTTCCAATCCCACCAACCATAATACTCCCCCAACACTTACTGTATACTAACTGTGTCTAGGTGCACTACTGGAGAGAGCACAGCCTCCATAAACACAACTCCCATCACATGGAGCAGATCCTGGTCTTCAGCGGGAACCACAGCCACGGCATGCTGCCTGGTCTGCACCCCTTCAGTCTGTACTCATTCAATGTGAGGGTTTATAACGGCAAGGGAGACGGCCCCCCCAGCCACACCCAGCAGTTTGAGACACCTGAAGGAGGTAGGAGAAGGAATACTGTCTTTCTTTTAGTGTATTATCAACACTTGTATTACTGTGACTTTATAGCCACTATCCATCTGGATGTACCATTATAAGCTACAGTAATTTAAGTTTTAAAGGAAAGTGATGCAAATATAAACGAAGAGGTAGCCCTTCCACTAACAATGAAATACAAGACTGTAAAACCCTCCTTAGCTTTACTAAGAGTTTCATGATTTATGTGTTTCCTGCAGTGCCGGGTCCTCCCACTTCCCTGACAGTCACCAACCCCAGCCCAGACTCTCTAACCCTTGAATGGAGTCCTCCTCATGTTCGCAATGGACGGATCACTGGCTACAGCCTCAAATATCAGCCAGGTGAGGCTTTTTTTTCCTATAACACGACAACTGAGTTGCTTAGTAAACGTCCCCTTCCTTCATGTAGTTTGTAGTTTTGTATGTCCTCCTTTTTCATGTCCTATACATGTGCTGTCATCCTGTTCAGATTCAGATTATAAAACAGAAAGGAAGACAGGTTTAAAGTAGTCTAAGAGCATTTCAAGCAAGTTATTTTGCCTAAATTACGACATAAATTAACAAGTCAACTTTTGTCACCTTCTATTCCTGAACCCTACACCTCTGTGCCCCAAATGCTTTCATTTCCACCTTTTTTCATCATTGACACTCCAACCCCATCCACGACCCCCTCCTCCTCATACCTCTATTCCACTTACCTTACTACTTCCAAACTTCCATCCCATTTTTCTTGTCACCCATCCTCCACCCCTGTAGTCAATAACTCCAATGAGCTGGGCCCAGTGGAGGAGCTGGCCCTGCCCGCCAATGAGACCTCAGTCACTTTGTCCAACCTCAAGTACAACACACGCTACAAGTTTTATTTGAATGCGAAAACAGTCAGGGGAGCAGGCCCAACCATTCCTCAGGAAGCTCACACCATCATCGACGAAGGTAAGTCAGCACATGCAGACGAGTACAAGTAAATGATCTGAATGGTGTTGATTTTTCTTCAACTGGAGCGCAAGATTAATATTTAAGCTGAAAAATATAAAGTATTTTGATAACTCAGGTTAGAGGATCGAAATGTCCCATGAATCTACAGTACAGTATGAAGTCCATGCAAAGTTAAAACACATCACACAACTCTTCAGTACATGCTACTCAGTACTCTGAACTAGTACATTCATTCACCAAATGATTTCTTGCCTTTAGCACGGTGTTGATGGGTTAATGGGTGCAAGATTGTATATGGTGAAGAATATTTTTAAAAGTTATGTTTAATAGTGTATGTTTTTTATGGCTATTTATATTTCTCTAGTTATTATTTTTATCCACTAGGAATACATATTGAATTTTATAAAAAGTATTTAAAAAAAGATGATCTTAGTGTTGTAATCTTCAGGTCTTTTATGATCTATGATAAGTGATCTACAGTACACTGATAGACTGTATAAGGAAACCAGACACCACCCTTATGTAGGCAAGACAGCAGAGGAGTTGTACAACATGTTTTAATTTTGGATAGTCTCACATCAGAGCTCTCACTGTGTACCTTCTCAAAGTTAGAAATTATTGGTTTGCATTGAAAAACATTCAATCAGACACTGAAATGCTTATTTTATGTTATTGTAAATTTGATATTTTGTGGTTTGGGACTGCTGGTCGAACAAAAGAAGCAATTTGAAGATTATTGTTTTTCTGACATCGTATATAATAAACATTTAATCGTTTAACTGAAAAAGACCTTGAGACATCAAGACGTAGAGTTAAGTCAGAACAACACAGAACAAGTGTATTGTGTTTGTGAAATGTCCGTCTAACATGTACAATTTACTGTATAATGCACAGCGTTTTCTTTTATTTTTAGCATTGAACATAACATGATGTACATAAGCTCTTCATCTTTGTCCATGTTACGTGGAACATGAATGTGATCCAGTTGCATTGTTGCACAAGGTTACCCATGCTGTTATAAAACCTCAGACAGATCATCTCTTAAATGACACAGCATGACCATGTGAATTTGTTACTGTTACGTACCGTGACACAGTTGGGGGCGGGGTGGGGTGGGGTTATCCCATAGTGACCCCTGTTCCGTTGTTTCTCTGTGTCTTGTTTCTCTTTACAAGCTCTAATATCACAGCCTGACGTAGATCTGGGCACAGGTACTGGTGGTATCTAGAGGGATGCATGTTTTACAGATACAGCTCCATAGCTCCAAAACTCACCACAAGCATGCACTCACAATCTTTAAGCACCCCCCCCCCGTCTCTGTCAAATTCTGTGGCCAACCAAAATGCTCTGCTAAGTTCAAAGCTGGGGAAAGTTCAAAGCCACATAGATAAAGATGCTATGTGACTTGTGCCTTTTTTAATGTCATGTGATAAAACTAGATGAGTCTTTTCAAAGCGCTAGGCTGCTCTTTTCTTGACTGTGCCTTCGGCGACTTTGACCTCTTCTCACTTCTTCAATGGTGGCTGCTGGTGATGCTTCCCGCTGCATGGCAAGAGTTTGCTTGGCATGCCAATGAACTGTGTGCACTGTGTATAATGACTTCAGTGTCTGTGGTGTCTCTGCCTGCGTCTCTGTGTGTGTCTCGTGTGTGGTGCGGTCTTTACCCTTCTCCATGTTGTTTACAGGAAACACCCAAACCTCTCATCCCATTGCACGGTCTCCTCCACGCCATCCGCCCCACAAGGGTACAGATACTGCTGTGATCTTAGTGCACTAGATGTCTGATTTGTTATGTGATCAGCTTTGTGTATTCTTTTGCTCGTTGGTGTAGTGTTCTGATTTGAAATTGCTATTGTGTAAGGCTATGAGGCTTTAGATTCAGTGACGCTAAGAGAATTTAATGGTAATATAATTAAATCAAAGCAATTAATTGCCAGTTATTGGATTGTCCTTTGACCAACAGACCGATCTTGATGGTTGTCTTTTCTCTTGTATGCTCAGCGCTGCCTGTGAGTCCTTTTGGGAACGTTACCTCCTCGGTTCAAGAGGGCGGGGCCCTGATCAGTTGGGAGTACTGGGGGCCGGAGAAAAACGTTTATGTAGAATACATAGTAGAAAACAGTAAGCAAAGCAACACACCTTGATTTCTGTCCGTTCCACACATAGGTGGCAAGAGACCCCTACTTCATTATTGGCTTGTGCAGGTAAACAGAAATATTGGCAGTCACGTTGATGCTGGATCCTGCCAACGTGGAGCCAGATGTGATAAACAAGGCTGTCTGTGATTGGATTGCTAATTACCCAGTCCTGTTATTGACTGGAGTTGCATGCATATCCCATGACAATCACGCTGGAACTTACGTAGACAAACATCATAAAAAAGCAGCACAAACATTCTTGTTATGCCAATTGATTTTGACTGAAAGGCTCTTCATTATTTTTATCCACCTGCAGTGAGGATAAACAACAAACACTGTGATATTGTAGTATGGCTCTCTCACACCTGCTGTTTAATGAATTCAATTAGGGAATATCATAATCATAGATCCCAGTCATTTAGAAAATGTAGTTACCAAAAACGTAATCTTGTGATCATCAATCAAACACATTTCATATCTAGCTCATCACCACATGTATAATTTATGACTGCCCCTGAGAGATCAACACACTGTAACTTAAGAGAAAAAACGTAGGCTTAACAAAAGCAAATGAAGGAAAGATCTTCATCAATTTGACAACACATTTGGAAAACAAGATTAAGATTCATTCATCATTCAGTCATTTTCTTTCTAAATGCTGAACACGTGTAGTCAAGTTGGTGAAGTTCTTTTCTTCATTTGTTTGTTTTCCTAAGTTGCAGTGCTTTGAGCTTTCAGGGCCAATGTAATAATTCATTCGTAGACTAAATTGTTTTTTCCAGAACTCCATTAATATTGACGATTTATATCTAGACCGCATTGCCTGCAGTGTAATCCCATGTCAGTAGATGTGTTTTTCAAGTAATTAGTTCCCATGATGTCATGATCTCCACAACCCATCTGAAGTTGTGTTTGCTCCCTCAAACGTCCCTCTCTTCATGAACGTCCCTCCTGCAGGTGAAGATGAAGAGGAGTGGCAGAAAGAGCTTGTGAACGGCTCTCAGAACATAATGCTGAAAGGCTTAAAGGGGGGCCTCGCCTATAGGGTGCGTTTGGTGGCCAAGGGTCACCACGACCAGTCACTCCACCAGTCTAAGGAGCTTTTGGTCACGGTCCCAGGTGAGGCAGTTCCTGGGTGGTCGCCTCCACCATGGCCTGGCCTGGCCTGGTTTGTAGAATGTGTAGTAGTTTGTGCCGTTGTGTAATTATATAATCAAGTCAAGCATGGGTTTAACAGATGTGTTGTGGTCGTCTGGATGCCAGGCATGTAGTCTTAGAGAGGCAGCGTGCATGATTGTCTGGTTGAAATTCAGCGTAATTAAATTCTGTCCTGTAGATTTGGTAATTAGAAAAAGTGGATATCATATTTCATATAGAAGATTAATATATGTTTAGTGCTATAATATCCAACCTAGTGTTACCCGCAGTAAACCTGTGTGTACAGTCTGTGTGTAATCTGTGTGTGTCTGTGACTGTGCAGTGTAAATGACTGATTTCCTACATTGTCAACTAATGTGGGTTCAATGTGTTCATTAACTTTTTCTAGGAGATTTCTAACTCGTCTAACACAAAATTCTGCAGCAGCAATGTGCAAACATGATCCACTCATGAACTGAAATCTCTAACAAGTGCACACTAAAAGAATGACCTACTACACCTGCGACATGTTTGTTTAGCACATAATGGCGGATAATTGTTTCAATTTCCCCTTCCCTCTGGGGAAAAAATCATCCAGTTTTAAATGTTATGTCTTCCTCTCCTCCTCTGGCCAGCTGTGGCGAGCAGACAGGTAGACATCGCCACACAGGGATGGTTCATTGGCCTCATGTGTGCCATCGCTCTGCTCATCCTGATCCTCCTCATTATCTGCTTCATCCAGAGGAATAAGGGAGGGAAATACCCAGGTGAGTAGTAGCACAAAGGAACTTAATGCTTCATTTCATTCATTCTATTATGTTTAATAAGATTTTAGGATTACTTTCTACAGCCTACATGTATGGCTGCCACTATGACAATAACATATTTGCTCAGTTTTTCTGCAAATATTTGGCTATTTTGTTTTTGTGCTTTAACATTTTTCATGTGTATGGACATATTGTAAATTTGTTATAAAACATACATTATTATTTTGTTTACAAAATAAACTTTTCTCGTTTTGAGTCTTGTTAAAACAAAAATAGCTTTTTCCATTAAAACAATGTATGGAAGTTTCTTCTTAAACAACACATCAACACATTTTTCATTTTTAATGTAACAAAATAAAATTATACAGTTATCATGAGAAAAGTTGCTGGAGGGAGCAATATTTGGCTGTAGTCACAATTAGTGAAAACAATTTAAAAGACTTTTATGCAGTATTCCATACAATAATATTGTATAGTATGCAATATTACACATACACCCTCACAGATGATCATTTCTTACAAGCTGGCTAAAATTGCTTCCTCTTTTCTCACTAGTCAAAGAGAAGGAGGACGCACACACGGACCCAGAGTTCCAGCCCATGAAAGACGATGACTGTACTTTTGGGGAATACAGGTGAGAGCAAGTGCTCCGGCCTCTGGAGCCCCCAGAGCCCATTTTTACCCATCAACCCCTGCCCCGTCCCCTGCTTTCTGCCCAGATCTGCTCTTTCTGACTGGGCTGGAGCTTTGCACTCCCTCCCTTCTTTCAGCCCTTTCAGCCGACCAATAACCGACCCAGGATCACCAATAACAGAAACAAGGAGAAGAAGTGCCCCTCGTCTGAACTTCTACAACAGTGAAGCACAATATTTTCGTTCTGGGTTCTGGGACGTCCTGGATGCTACTTGTGTTGGACTCTCTTGTGTGTATGCTTGATATGACATTGTTGTGTCATTTGAGAAGCAGGATTCTTCAGGTTCAAGGGATTTAGGGGTTTGGGTGTGTATTTAAAACTTAAAACTGTCAGGAAAAAAAATATATAAGCTAGATTCATTTGCAACACATCCTAAACGGATCCCAAGTATCAAATCCCATTCCAACTAATAAGCTACTCATATACATTCTGTGTACAGTATACATAGTATTAACACTTTGCCTGGTGTATTGCTACTTACATACACAACTCTCATAGGATTGAAATGACCTAAATGATTATTCTTGCTAACTTACAGCATTTATCCAGCTATGCTTGTTAGCATTCTCTTTCTAGGCTGCTTCTCCAATCGCACGCAGAATAAAGAAAAATGAAGCACTTTACTTCTGTATAGCTAGCATTTTTGAATTGTTTTTTATAAGTCAATTTATAAGATGGTCTTTCTTTTATATTTTATATTCCTTTTTGTATTATGTATACATAAATCTGTTCTATGGATTTAATGCTGTGATAAATACATATCGATATATATATAAATATAATATGTGATATGCATGGTGTGAAGATCTGATCTGATATGAAAATTTGCTCTAGGCAATAATGTGTTGAATGGAATTATTGTTCATATATAGATATACAGTATATAGATGCATATGGATCTTATATGAAATTATCAGCATGTTTGAGGGAAGCAATCGTCACTGAGTGTACAAGAGCTGGTTAATGCTGTTAATAACAGGCCAGTAGCCATTTTTTAATATTAATAGTAATCCTTAAAAAGGATAAATGGTGTGCTGGTGATATTCTACAGTAATGTTATTGTCAACAAATTCTTTAAATAGACCAAAACCAGTGACTCCTCCAACTTGGTTGTGGCACTGTATTTCAAGCCCATATTCCTACTGAGGAATACTTTCATCTTTAAAAAGTACTGTGACATAGAGGAATAGTCTTTGTCAGGCTTTGGACGCACAGTCAATACTTGTTAGTACAATTAATTCATTGTTTTGGTCTTTTTATGAGATTTGTTGACAACATGAAAAATTTAGAATATCACCAGACATATCCTTTAAAACTAAGTTTGTGTAACATGAGAGACCTATTTACACTGCAAGGAAATTTCTCCAATGGACTTCAAAGAACAACAGTAGACAATAAATCACAAGGCAAAGTGTATAAATATTATAGTGCCTTTGTGAGAGTATACTTTATATCCATGCTGTTTCATTAAGCTCAGCTGGAACCTTACAGTATGTCAATAAAGGCGTAACTTAACTCAACTAAGCTGTTCTTGTTTGACTGTAGGAGAGCATACTGTAAGTTCAGACTACATGTGTACACGGCGTATGTGCCTGTTAAAGTGCCACGCTTAAAACAAATCTTCTCAAGTGTGTGCATAGTGCAGTTGTCCCTAGGCGTGTCTGTTGTGTTGTGTGGGATCTCAGCTGGATCTCCTCATCTGATCGCAGGGGTGTAGGTCTCAGGAAAGGTAAGGGTGATGATGGTGTGTGGGGTGATTGAGGGTCGCTGTTCTGTTTATCTAGCATGTGAGGAGGGTCAGCGGATAGTTGGGTCACCGTGGAGAAAAATGCTCGCTGTACACGCATCCCAGGCTGTCATCAAGTTTAACATTCTGTCATAAAGCCTTCATCATGCCCCTACAAGTCTTTGAAGTCATTCATTTACGGCTTTACTGTGCTACTTTTATCCTTCAAAAGGCTTTTGCATACTGATTAACATCTATTCTAGTAAAATATAAAAACATTTCAGCATTATGATGGCTTTGTGATCTTATCTCATTAATGTTCAACTCATGTATGTGGAATGTTTTCGACTATCTGATATCCAAAGAAAACTTTCTTTGCAGATTTTTCATGCATTTTGCCAATTTGTGATTATTATCATGCTTGCTTTGGGGGATGTTTGGCTGAAACCTTGCTTTCCAAGTTTTATTCACATCATTGCCTTGGATTTTCTGTTTTTCATCACAACCTCTGTCTGGGGGTGGTGGTGGGGGATGCTTTGTGTCAAACAACACATTTACCACTTCATATTTGGTTTCAGGGGGAATTTTAACAGGGTACGATTGCTTGAGCTTTATTCCCCTGTTGCCTGACGGAAACCAACTAATCATTCATTGCTACCGTTTTTTAGACATGGAGCCAACCAAATTCAAATGCTGCAGAATTTTAAAAAGCAAAGAGTTAAAGAAATGACTTATTTTCAGTGAAAAAAACTTACAGCAGGTTGTGGTAAAAGTAACTATCGGCAGTTGAGTGCTCCATCTAAAAAAGTGATCACTAATCTCCTTGTTGCATCTGCCACATCATCTCACCTGTAACACCTGCATGTTATTTTCTCCTTCAGTGACAATGAGGACCATAAACCGTTAAAAGGAAGCCGCACGCCGTCTAATGGGACAGTTAAGAGAGACGACAGTGACGACAGTTTAGTTGACTACGGGGAAGGAGGAGATGGACAGTTCAACGAGGATGGCTCGTTTATTGGCCAGTATAGTGGAAAGAGTGTCAGCAGGGACACTGCTGAGGGCCACGAGAGCTCGGAGGCCCCATCCCCCATTAACGCCATGAACTCCTTGAACTCTTTTGTGTAGCCTAGCAGACCGGTATGAGGTGGTGCACTGACTGCTCAACCCCCACATCTCTCTCTTAGAGGGCTGTTCCAACACTGCATGGCTTTATGATCAAATCTGCATCCCCAATGCTACACATGACACATGAAATACAGACAACTCATCAAAGACACGTATGTTTCACTTGGAAAGACTTCATGGAGAGGCTTTGAAACGTGTGCTCTTTACAGTGTATCCCAAGCAGCATTTAGGAAGGAAGAAGGGAGTAGCTCACCCAGACATTTGATTAGTGCAGTGATTTTAATAGTGCATAAAATACCTGATATGACCTAAATCCATATATTAATTAACACTTTGATATTAATAAATGTTGCATTCTTACCATAAATCTCTAATAGACTATGCAGTGCTCGTCTGAACTATATTTGTTTTTGTTATTTGGTTATTATATTATCTACTATGTTCAAATAGTAGTCAGTGTCTACAGTAAATGACTATTATTTCATGTATTTTTCCAACACAGAAGCTTGTACAGGATTCTGTATTTAATAATATAATCCATCCATGTAATTTCATCATGCATTTACAGTGCACAAGGCAGATCATGTACAGTGTATATATATATAAAGTGAACTATCTGTAAACGGAATACTGGGAGCAGTGCACACCGCTTGCTTGACATTTGCTGCATTCATAAATCCTCATCTTGTGAATGATCCAACTATACCTACGAAGGAGGAGGCTGAAATGCTGCATGGCATGTCATATGACCACATAATCTTTGCCCTGCATGTAACCTCCTCTTACTGAGTTTGAGTTGAAGGCCAGTGAGGATCGCTGAGGGCGTGACAGCTTGCTTCAGTCCCCACAGTGCCCCTTCAGCAGGTAGTGCCTTTTCTTCAAAACAATGATATGATTCCGAAGTCTCTCTCCAGAGTTCATTGACTGGAACAGAGAGAGTAGTCGGCCTGCAGAAGTCACATCCAAGGATGGATAAGATAAGCTTGAGAAGAGGACTGTGGAGGGAGGAATAAATACTCTTGTCAAGACACCTCCCAATGCCTTGAGACACAGGACTGGCTCCGATTCCTCCAAGAAGCGAAAAGCACCCACATAACATCGTTAAAACCGTGTCTGGTGCAAGCCTGCAGTCATTATGTACAGTACCTGATTGTATTTCTGCAGTGTATGAATGTTTGGACATCTGTGAGTGTGTAGGTGTGTGTGTGTGTGTGTGTGTGTGTGTGTGTGTGTGTGTGTGTGTGTGTGTGTGTGTGTGTGTGTGTGTGTGTGTGTGTGTGTGTGTGTGTGTGTCCGCACACGGATCCAGTACATTATTCAATACCTATTAGGGAAAAATTGTTCACTTTTACTGACTACACTTGAGGGCCTTTGGATGGGATCAAGATTTATTTTCTCTTAACTTGCATCAAGTTTTTTTTTTTAAAGACATGTAGAATATTTGTTCAATTTGTAAATACCTTCATCCATTGTACAGGTACAAGCAACTTGTAAGGCAGCCTAAGAGGTAATATTGTGCATGATATGGTTTAACTTGTTGATAGGACTGTATTAAATATAGAGTACTTGTAGAGAATATATATACTCTTTTTTTCTTGCTGTGCACAGTGTATATTGTACTGTAACTAACTGGACAGAAAATTGCATATACATTTCAATTCTGGTTGTTTTCCGATTTGCTTGTCAGCAAGTTACATAACTTTGGTATTTTATGAAAACATGTAGGATATAGCAACAATATTAATTGATGCAAAGAATTATATTATTCTGATTTGTATTGGTTCTACACAGTCCCAGTATACTGCCAAAATGATGCTTTTTTTCTGACAGTATTGCAAATGGTTTTGTATTTAAGAAACAGATTTGTACTAACAGATTTTTTCTTTCTCTATTTAAGTTTCTCCTTTTAGTGCAAGTATGAAATTCAAGCTACTGGAATATAATGAATGAATAAATAATTATCTGCTTTAATTTCCATTTTCAGACTCTTTTCTCAAAATGTCATTGCCCTCTGTCGAAATGAGTGATGCTCTGAATGGCGTTAGATTCAGTGAGTCATAAAAACCCTGTTATTCAGCAAGCTTTGTGCAACATAATGTAACCATAATTATTCACTGCATAACAAAATTATACCACATACTAATAATAGCCAATTCTACAGCCGTAGAAATGAATAAACATTCACACTTTTACAGCAACAAGAAATGCTGTGTATATGTATGTTTGTGTTGTGCCTGGATGCATGTATGTGTGTGTGTGTGTGTGTGTGTGTGTGTGTAGAGGTGGAAGTAGCCTTTACTTAATAAATTCAACAATTTACAAATTATAAGTGCATTCAAAATCCTACTAAAGGTAATGCACAGAAGTATCAGCTAAATGTACTACTGTAAATAAAAATACTCATTCTTGGGTACTGGTCCTGTGATTGACATATTGTTATCTATTACATTATTATTATTAATAATGATGCATCAATGCATAAACAGTATTTTACTGTTGTATCTGGCCAGAGTAGAGTTTTAATGTATAGGGTAGTCAAGTCCCAGAGCTGCAGCTGGAAAAAACTCAGACATCTAAAATGTTACGAGGGGTCCGACTTACACCCACAAAGGTAGAACGACAGGATTCATCTTCAACAATGCATTGTGGTTTATAAGTGTGTTTTTTTTTTACTTAGAATAGTAATCTGAAAGGTAACTAGTAACTACATCTATTACTATTATACTGAAAATGTAAATGTACTTTCCGCCACTGTGTGTGTGTGTGTGTGTGTGTGTGTGTGTGTGTGTATGTGTGTGTGTTACGAATCATGTTGTCATTGGCTCATTGAAAATGAGGTCTAACATAATCAAACTGTCAGGAGTTGTCCACCAATCAATAAATGTGTTTGATAAACAAGAAGTCATAAAAAACTACTCAAAAACAACCCAAGTTACAAAAGGTCTGGAGTGTCCCCAGTTAGAAAAAAACAGATTTTTGTCAGTGGTTAGGGTTACAGTCAGTCTTGTGTGTGTGTGTGTGTGTGTGTGTGTGTGTGTGTGTGTGTGTGTGTGTGTGTGTGTGTGTGTGTGTGTGTTGGCATTGTCTATACAATCTCCTGCTCTCCTGCTGCACAAGCTCTGGATCTATTTAGAGTTACATGGATCAGAAGAAAATGATGCCAAACACACAAAGGATTTCAACCCACCAAAACCTTATTGCAAGTAGGTAAGACAACTGTACAAATGCACACACAACCGTGTTCACCACACACATACACCTACAACCTGAAATACACACTGAACAGTAACACCGCCCTGTACCGTGAGCAGAAGCTGGGGGCTGTGTGTAAATATGGATGCCTACACCTGCCTCAGTCTCCTCAGTGTGAAGCAGCTATAGAAAGGCCTTATGGAACACGACAGTTGGGCTCCATCTTTTTGGCGCTCACTTGTGGCACTTCCACTTCCATTAGAGTCATATTGTCAGGGTAATAGCGAGAGAGCAGCCCGCCATCTGGTGCATTATCACACAGCAATGGTGTCAGGAAGCGGGGAAGGCTGATATCTAGAGTCTTGGATTTACTTTCTCTCCCTCTGGCAAGGAATCGTTGCCTTCTGTTTATTCAGGTACACTAATTCCTTTTCCCGGGTAAAGTTGTTTGGGGATTGATGGGGTTGTTGATTTCTTCCAAAATGAAACCAAAGATTAGTTTTTATGAAAGATGAATCCATCAGTGAGAAGTGTAGGTGGTTGAAAGGATGTCCATAATATTCCAGCCAAAATAACTGACTCTCACACTCAGCGGCAATGATCTCTGATGACCTTCAGCTACTGGATGATGATCCATCAATTTGTTTATGTTTGACAGATTTTCCATCTTGACTTTACTGCCACCTAGTGATGTGAGGCAATTATGCCGGCTGAAATAAGCAACAGGCTTTTAAATGCCACGCCAGGCACATAAACTATCAATAAAACTAATAAAACTGTTGTTTTTTGTTTTTTTTAAATACATTTTTATTGGTAAGAGACAACAATGAAAATGTTTTATATAGAGGCCACAGTTTGACCATGCTATAAAATATTATATTCCAACCACAATATGCTGGATTACCTTTCATTTTGGCTGACAGTCTGTAAGCCTATGAATTTGTTTGGCCCTCTGTTGACATCCCCAGTCCTCAATTACAAAGGCTGCCTGTAAGAGGGTTAGCTATTTTTTTTTCATGGCAACAGAATCACATTATTTGTCCGTCGATTGGTGATCATTGCGACCAAACAAGCAGCTGCCCCATTACCCTTCTGAACTCCACCCACCCCCTCTTCCTGCCGCTCCAAGCCAACCCCTCCCTCCATCCTCTCATTCCTCATCCAATCCTCAGTGGATTCATTCTGTGTCGGCTGTTCATCTGCCATAGCATCCATTATCCATTCCCACCTCCTCTGTGTCCAGCTCCTTGATTTACTGCTGGGCGGAAAGCCTGGTTTGAATTGATCTATAGCTGGTTTTTATGTCTACCTCCAGTCTGCTTTCAATGAGGAAAAAGATCATTACAATCTGATAGTCCTGTTTCCGTACAACCTGGTAGCTTTATAGTGCACCATTTGAATCCCAGATGCTCAAGTGAAGGACGTGATCTTTCGGCGTCTACAAGCTTCCCAATATGCAGAATAAAGGATATCAAAGGCAGGTATTAGAAAAACACCACCATTTAGTTTCTGATATTTTTTAAGTGTGTGCTGAGCTTCAGGGCGTCTGTTCCTTTAGATGTAAGTGGCAGAGCCTTTGTGTCTTTATGTAAATGTGCCCTTTTCTGCTGCTCTGAGAGCTGGGGAGGATAATTGTTTATGATTACTCTGTGACATTTCCATATGGCTGACGAACGGTTTGCCAACACACACTCACCGACACACACACACACACACACACACACACGTGCCGACACACATCTGTCAAGACCAAGCTGTTTGGAGCCTGAATTGTAGGTTTGGTTTGCCTGAAATTGAAAACCCAAACTGTGGGAGGGAAATCACCACTTCCAGTATAACGGCATTATTTCTTCACTACTGTTTCTACCCAAAAAGGCTGTTTACCCTGGGGCTGGGGTGTGTGTGTGTGTGGGGGGGCTGATATGGTGACAGATATCATTGCACTCCTGTTGGATGGATGCTACTTAAAGTGAGAGTGCTTTGTTCTATCGATCTCACACTCTCTATCAACCCCACTCCCCCTTTTTATCATGATATCACCAGGATTATAACCCCGATTCTTATTCTCCTTGCACCCCCTCCCCCCCATCATGTCCCATGTGTATTTGGACTGGTTGAGTGCGGGTGGTGGTGGTGGTGGATGGGTGGGTCGGTGGGTGGGAGGAGGGGGTTTACCTTTGCATGAGCCCCTGTGGAGATCATTGGGGCTAAATCATGTTTACCCTCACCCCTCCCTCCTCTATCTCTCCATGTCCCTCCTCCTCCTCTGCCAGGCAGATAGATGACAGCCACCTATTCTTTCCTCTAGACAGCAGGGTGTTTGCTGTTCCTCTTATCCACCCCAGAGACCGACCTTGTAACAGTGTTATTCACCAGCAGGATCTGTCTCTATTTGCACTGCCGTGTTGTAAGTGGAGTAAAAGTGTTTGTCTGAGGGTTGAATACACCTAGATCTTGGATAAAATAATATCCTTTCGGGCTCTGTATTATGCTCCTGTATTTTCCTCACTGTAACCGAATACTTTTGGCTTGGCTATTTTCTGTGGAGTGACATGTTTTTCTAATACATCCCCCTTGGCGGAAGAAAATATTTTTTTTTATTGTGTATTAACAACAGTTCCCATCTCAAAGGAAACAATACTTTTTTTTTAATGAAAAGTATGAATATTAACAACAGCCTATAGGGAACAAAGCAGCAACAACTTGATATAGAGCTGTAACCTTCATGTAAAGTCAGTTTCTGGTCACATTAAGGAGAACTTCTTTGATATGATACCCCAAATTCATCCAAAGGGGGCTAAGTCCTTCAATTAATTCTACCCTTCTCTTTCTCAAAGATTCCTGCATTATTTATGGGCCGCCGCCACAGCAGATTATTATTTGCTGTGTGGTGTTTACATCCAAGATTTAAATCTAATCCCAGGGGATTGAGATGGTCTCATGTTTGGATTGACATGTAGGCATGGCATTATAATTAGTAGAGGTGCCCTTTTGATATGTGCATGATGCAGGCTGCAGTCACACTCATTTCTCATCCACCCCTGGTGGTGTTTAGTCATGCAAATAGATTTATCTGCTCATGTTTTGACATTTCTTGTTCTGAAACATTTTCTGCTGTGACAAAACACTGGAACAAAATTTAGTTTGTGGTGCTTGGAGCTCTGAAAATGTTACTTCTTCACAAACCTTAATGTCAACATCTTTTTGGGACTCTTTCTCTGAAAGTAGTTCCTAGCTTCAGCTGCTCACAATCCACTGTGTTATGCAGTGTAAAAGTGAACAATAATCTAAATGAGCCTTTTGTTATATTTGTATGCTTAAACAAAACATTGTGTAATCTTTGGTATCACTTACAGCCAATTGATTTTTGTGAGCATCAGGGATAGGGATGTTAACTTAGTTTACACTTGGGACAGAAGTTCAAGGGCAAAACCGTCTTTACTTGACCAAAATAAAAATAAAATACAGCTATTACTGAATGCAGTCAGACAGGTAGACGAAACTAAAGGAAGTAAGAAAGGCAGATAGGTCTAAAAACAGGCAACATACAGAAGACAATGTGGTAAAAAGGTGAAAGGTTGGTAGGTGGAGCAGCCTATATAATACTGGGGCTGATGCTATCAACTTAGTGAATCATATGAATATGATTTACATTAACTTTCATATTGTGGTTGACACATATATTACTGTAACATTAGTCTCTTTCTTTGCATTAAATTACATGGAGCCTCGAGTTAGTGCTGATCCCAACAGACGTTGCATACTTTAAACCTTTCATA